CCCCAAAACCCCAAAACCCCAAAACCCCAAAACCCCTGAAGTGGAGATTTTTATGAATTAGATGAATAATAAAATAATTCAAAATGAATTAATAATTTCAAATATTACTTTAAAAAATATGCAAACTGATTTAGACGATTTGCCTGTGGGAGGAGGTGGCTAAAAAAATGCCCCTCCTGATGAATTTGCTAGCTCCTCTAATTAAGCCGTCGATAATAGTGGCCCTCTTGAACAAAGAATAGTGAGCAAGAACTGGCTGGTCAGAGCTAATGCATTTGAAGAGCTAACTACTCAATTTAAGTCAGCTGATAATTAATATAGTCAAGAATTCAGAGATCATGCAGGTTCATGGAAAAAGTATCTAGCAGATGCTAATCCTGGATCATTAGAAAAATGCCTAGAAGCTTTAGACGTTTTTATTAATAGAGCTGATCCAAAATTAGTGTCTTCCTGTCAAAATGATATAATAAAGATTCTGATAGAAAAGTGTGTTGGTCATGCAAAAGCCAACATCAAGACTAAGAGTCTAGAATGCTTCAATTTGTTATTTGAGGTATCAGAAGTATTTGATGAATCAACTGACACTATTGCTGAAAGTTTAGGATCTAAGAATATTAAGGTATATTTAATCAATGCTTATTTATTAATAGATAAGTACTTATGCTTTGATCACTCTCAATTCATGGGTTAGCAATTATGGAGTAAAAAAAGTCAAGATTAAGCCATTCTTATAATAAGTAGAAAACTTAGCTGGTTAATCTAACCCTCAAGCAAGATCTGAAGCTATGAATTTCTACAAAGAATGTTATATATTTCTAGGGGAGGGTCTAAAACCTTTGATATCCAGTCTTAAAAAATAATAATTGGTAGGATACTATTAATATATAATCAATTTCTTGATAGGATGATCTTGAGAAGGAATTCGCCTAGCTAAAGGATAGACCCAAGTAATAATTAAGGCTAACCAGAACTGAAAAAGAAAAGTTAAAGGATGCTGCCCTAGATGATATCATAAAGAAAGAAGAAGAAGAATCTAAGGGAGCAGATACTTTCGTAAGATTAAAACTTCATTGATATCTTAATAGGATTTATTTGATGCAGTAGATTTACTCACTAAATATGGATCAAGTGAATGGTAAGACAAATTGTCTGAAGCAAAGGCATGGAAAGAAAAGAAAGATTTGCTCGATGAACTTTATAATGATAGTAATGTACCAAAGATTAAACCTGGTGATTTCATTGGAATTGCAAAATTATTAAAGAAAATGATGGGTGATTCTAACATTGTGGTCTCACAGACATCTGTTAAAGTTTGTACCAACTTGGCTAAAGGTCTTAGATAAGATTTTGAACCTAGCTGCAAGGAATTACTTCCTACTTTAATCGCAAAGTTTAGAGAGAAGAAAACCTAGGTAATTGAAGATACAAATAATGTCTTAAACAGTTTCTTAATGTGCACAAACTTAGAAGTTATTAAAGATGATTTGATAGCAGGGCTTTCTGATAAAGCACCCTCAGTAAAAAAATATGTCTGTCTTTACATAGAAAGAGCTTCACAAGAAACATATATTGATGTATTGTAGAGAATTTCAAATGAATTACTCTCAGCTTTAATAAAAGCTTCTGATGACTCATAGAGTGAAGTAAGAGATGCAGCTTTATAAGCTCTGGGCATATTTAAAGGAAGATTAGGTGATTCAGCGATGTCAAAATTTTTACAAGACTTAAATCCCTAAAAACTTGCAAAGTTAAATGAATCTGCTTAAAACGTAAAGCCTAGTAAATATGATAGACCTGAGAAAAAGGTTGTAGCACCTGAGCCAACAAAACCAGCACCTCCTGCTAAAAAGAAACCTGCAGCACAAGCTGAAAAAAAGCCAGCTCCAAAGAAATAAGATGAAGTAATGGAAGATGTTACAGCAAAAACGTAAAATGTATTTGATGAATAACCAATTGGCGGAGGAAATAAGAATAAGAATTCTTTTGACGATTAGCCAATAGGTGGTGGAAAAAAACCTCCAACTTAATTCGATGATCAGCCAATTGGAGGAAATAAAACAGCTTAATTTGATGAACAACCTATAGGCGGTGGAAATAAAGGTGGATTTGATGCAGGTGCAGTTGGAGATGGTGAAGATATACCTATTAAAAGAGGTGCTTATAATCTTGATAATCTTGATGACTTGGATGCATTTGGAGGCGGAGGAGGGTTTGGTAATCCACCACCAATAAAGAAAAAGCCTCCTCCAAAAGCAGCTGTAAAGAAACCTGTTGTTGAGGAGGAGAAAAAAGGAGATGATGGTGATGTATTAATGAATGATGATACGATGATGTCACCAAAGAAAACAGAGGCTAAAAAGCCTCCCCCAAAATTAGCTGCTGAAGCTAAGCCCAAAGCTACTACAACAACAGCTGCTAAAACCACATCAAAGGGACCAGCTGGCCCTCAGATTCAAGAAGAAGATGTTGGAGCTGGTCTAAGTAAAGAAGAAGCTGAGGCTAAGGTTTAAGAAAATTTTCCATCAGAAATTGTGTAAAAATTTGAAGAAGCAAAATGGCAAGATAAAGTTGAAGGATTTAAGGGACTAGGTGAATAGGTTATTGCAAATCAATTTGGATAAGATGTCATTGAAGGTTTAGTCAAGTTTGTGAAAACTAAAATGAAGGACTGGAAGGAAAGTAACTTGAATCTTATCAAGGAGACTGTTGCTTTTTTCATGGTAATCTCGTAAAATTAAGAAAAAGTAAGTAAAAGAGCAGCTGCTTGTATGATGCCTTTCTTGTGCGATAAAATAGGTGATGTTAAACTAGTGAATAACATCAGTGAAACATTACTTCACCTCTCTGAAATAGTTACTCCGAAATATGTTGGTCTACAAGTAATAAAGTTTGTCGCATCAGCTAAGGCTCCTAATACAATTAAAGAAGGATGTAATGTTTTGATAAAAATGACTGACGAATTCGGTGTTTTAAACATGGCTCCAAAAGAAATGATTGATTTTGGTATCTTAGCAGTAAATCATACTAATCCTCAAGTAAGAACATAAGCTATGGCTCTGTTTGCCATTATGTATCAACATGCTGGTGAGACTATAAAGAATTTTTTGAAAGATATTAAGGAGTCTACACTAAAGCTTATAGAAGATGAATTCGCTAAAGTCACCCCATTTAAAAGTGGTCAATATTAGCAAAAGAGAAATTTCAGAGGAGAAGCAGCAGCAGCTGCCAAAGATGCAGCACCAAAGAAAGGAGGAGCAGGTGGTGGAGGCGGTGGTGGCCTTGCTGCTCTATTAGATGATGCTATGCCCAGATTGGATATAACCAAACTTTTGACTCCTAAATTAATGCCAATGTTTAAACATGCAGATTGGAAAGTTAGAAAATAAGCTGCAGATTAGGTTGAGGAAATTTGTAGAGGTGCTAACATGAGAATTCAGCCTTTAGGTTTGGGTGAGCTTATGGATAATATTAAGCAGAGAATGGTGGATCCTAACAAAGCTGTCTTAAAAGCCTACATTCAATTAATGGGAGTCGTTGTAGAGGCATTGGGACCAGCTGCCAAATAGTTTTAGAAAAAAATTCTTCCAGGTATGCTTGCAACATTAGCTGATAAGTAAAGTCTCGTAAGAGGAGATGCTATAGCTTGCATGGATAAATGGGCAGAACATGTAGGCCCAGAAGTTATAATCAATAATGTTGCCCCAATGCTTACCTAAGAGAATCCAGAGCTAAGAACTGAGGCACTAAAATGGATAATTAAGCAAAAAGATGCGATTAAGAATACAGAAATGAAAGAATATATAAAAGCTTTAGTTTCTTGTCTCTCAGATAAAACTCCAGCAATAAGAAATTTAGCTGAAGAAGTATGCGGGTATGTAATGCCATTTACTGGATATTAACCTTTCTAATAAAGTATTTCTGATCTATTACCAGCTGTAGCTAACACTATTAAGCCAATACTAGAAAGAATAAAGAAAAATGTAGGCCCAATGAATGTTCCAGTTGAAAACATGAATGGATCTTCTGGAGCACCTCAATAAAAGCCATCAGCATAATAATAACAGCCTCCCTAATAGACTTAATAAATATAATAGTAAATTTAATAAGCTCCATAAAATAAAGCCCCAATAGAGTAACCATAATTAAACAAAGCTTAAAGTACGAAACCTCAAATCAAGGCCAAAACTTAAGGTACTTAACAGAATGATGCTGCTTAAAAGCCTCCTTAATAAAATCTGAATCAAAGTTTATAGCCAAATAGTAGTTTGAATCAAAGCATGCTTAAAAAGAAGGAAAATTAAACACCAGTATCAAAATAAGCACAATAGTAACCATAAAGATCTGAATCGAGAGAAATGGTTAAACCAAAAGGTCTCTCACAGACTATAACTCAATTTAAGTAATAAGAGGAATAAATATAAGAGGGAGTCATGGTTCATTTTGGTTTCAAAGAAAAGAGAGCTGAAATAGATAGGAAATCTAAATTTTAACTAGAGGACATTAAAGGTGAGTAAGTTGAGAAACTAAAAAATTCCACATCATAATGTCTTGGACAGGCTTTCTGCGCTAAAATGTTTTCAAATGATTTTAAATTGCATTTAGAATGTATTGAAGCATTTTCTTATCTAATGGGATAGTAGCCTGAATCATTAAGGGAAATCTTGGATATTATTTTCAAATGGTCGCTTGTGAAATTGCAAGATAGTGGAAATACAAAGTTTGCTGTTAGCATATTTGATTTCTACAGTACTCTATTTCAACATTTAGAAGAATCTGAGTATGTATTCTGGGACTTTGAAGCAGTAATAATCATTCCTTAGTTAAGTGAAAAGGCTGGAATTAATAACAACATTTTGAAGGATAAGGTTAAGAAGCTTTTGAAAATGATATATCCACTCTATGATGTCAAAAAATGCTATACATTGATAGTTCAATATGGTTTGAATTCTAAAAATCTTAGAGCGCAGTCTGAATGTCTTGATGAGTTAGCTGATTATCTTACTAGATTCGGAGTAGACAATTGCACTGATAAAGAGTTTAAATTGATAGCCAAAATGGCTGACAATGCTGATAAAAACATAAGAGAAAATGCTCTAAAATTCATGGGAGAGGCATATAAGTTGCTTGATGATAATATATGGAGAGCTATTGGAGATGTTACTCCAAAGGTATAAGGGTTACTAGAATAAAGATTTAAGAAACTAAAGGGAACTACTGGCGGAGGACTAGCATTAGGTGGATCACTAGCATAATCTAGCTCATAATCTAACTTCTATGGTTAAAGGGATTAATCCCCTAAGTAGACTAAAGAGCTTAAGACTACCTCAAATATTGGATTAAAGAAATCTATATAGCAAAGTACAGAGATGGGCAAGTAATCAGCAACCCCAAGAGGAGGCCTTTAGTTTAATAAAGGACCATAAAAGTAAGATCTTACGAAGTCAATAAACTAATTCAACCAATCAAATAAAAGCAATGAGGATTAAAAGAGAACTGCTTTTTAAGACCCAAAAAAATAAGAGTCAATGCTTTAAGACAATCAAAGTTTCTCGAATAAATTTGGAGCTCCGAAGTAAGTCTAAACTTAAAGGCCAATTGAGGTTTAGTAATTCAACTAAGTTCACAGAGGATCAGAGCCTATTTAATAAGTGACCAAATCTTCATTTGCTGGATTAAGATAATAAGCTCCAGTTTCCAAGCAGAATTAGCTGTTCTATGATGATGAAGATGATGATCTTAGAATTTTCACCTCAGATGATCACTTTGGAACTGATCCAGAATTAGATAAAGCTCAAGATGAGATTACCAAGCATATACATCAACTAAAGTATGCTGACCTATCAAAAAGAGTGGATTCTTTGGTATCATTAAATGAAATGATAAGTGCTATCGATCAAAATAAGCCAGTCTTAGTAAGAACTGCAAACGATCTTGTTAGTGCCTTTACTCACGTATTAATTGATATCTTTGATAAAAGTGTCGAGGACATTCCTTTAAGATTTGCCAAATACTTCATTACCATAGTTCTTAAGACTTGCTCTTGCAAAGAAATAATGAAAGAGGTCAGTGAAGAAAGAATCTTTGACTTGGCTGAGTAATTACTTACAAGACTTTTGATTGATAATCTTGATAAGGTAGGAGACAATAAAGAAGGAGAACTGATACTTAAAAATTTAAATTCTTCAATGCTTAGATTGCTTGAGAATTGCAATCACACTTATATTTTCTGTGTGCTCTTTGATCTCTTGAGAAAATATAAGGATTATGGAGTAATGCCAAAACTACCAAACCTAATCATTAAATGTTTGCTTAAACTCAGCAAAATATTAGAGAAACTAATTGAGAAGCTTGATATGGAGAAGATTTTGTTAGCAATTCATGAATATTTGGTAGTAATTAATCATGAAAATAAGACTTAAAACGATGAGATGGGTATTAGGATTGTTAAGACAGTAACCAATGAACTTGTTAAGCTAAAAAGAGAGAGTATTTGGGAGGCCTATAATGTAATATAGTGCCATGGATAGGCTGACCTTCATATCTACCGCTGGATCTAAATTATTCTCAAAAGTTTATAAACTCAAGGAACAACACCTTCAGGAACCTAATCAGCTTCAAGTAACGGAGAATAAGAAATTAGATAGTTGGTTGACGAACTTAGGAATCCTGAGAAATTTGAGAGTGCAATCCTTAAGCTTTAAAGATTCTTAGATCAAAACCCACATATTGATCTTAATGACTATTTGCAAGAGTGTTCAAAAACTTTCCAACAGTTCATCAAGACCAATCTAGAAAAGCACAGATAATCACAAAGTAAAAAGATTAATTTATTCATTAATTTTAGAAGATGAGGTAAAAGCTATGGAGGAGTACGGAACATAATATAACCTGAAATCAACTGGAAGTACAGATAATGCTAGTCTCTCATAACCTCAAGACCCTGTTGAGCTGAAATTATCTCACTAGAGTAGCAATAATTCAATGCCATCTAATAGAATCAGTGAATATTAGAGTAAATTAGCAACAATGAAATTGAGGAACAACTAAAAGAGTGGTGCTGAGACTGCAACAAATAAGTAGCATGTATAAAATTTGGCAGGAGGCTCGGGAGCTCAACATAATTTGAATACTTCTTTTAGTGCTATGAATTCTAGTTTGTCCCAAAAATGGCATGAAATAAATAAAAAGTCTGCAGTGACAAAGAGAGAAGGAGGTCAAAATATGCAACAGATGAGTAGCACTATGGGAGGATTCACCTCTGCCGCTTAAAATTTTGAGAGCAGAATCGGAATGGGATAGAATGCCACATAATAACCGATGAACTAAAGCTTAGGAGGTGCTTCATAAGGAGACCAAGGAGTTGGTGGAGGAGCAACAAATCAAGATTTAAATGAGAGACTTGCTGTAATGAAGGCTAAACTTCAAGCTCTTAAGAAGAGATGATGAACATGAGGAAAGTAGAAAGATATATAATGTGTAATGACAGTTTGATTATTAAACTGATTCTGATAATGAAAACATATAATCTTGTTATAATTGTGTCTAATTGATTATCTATTTCTATTAGATTTTTTGCAATCATATGAATCGGGGTTTTGGGGTTTTGGGGTTTTGGGG